AAATGTCTAATTTTCAATTTTTTCAATTATATCGAAAATTGTCATGAGTATAACACTAGATAGAATAATGACTCATTGTCGTCTGCAGCCTGGATGCTTACATACAGTACTTGCTTTTTATGAAAACACGATATTCATGAAATGGTAATATGAGATTATTAATAATTGTTACTTACTTGTTTTGCAACGATATTCGACAGTGTCCATACTTGTGAGTAAAAAAGAGAGATCATTATCGTGATAAATGATCAACAATAATGTGAAATTAATCTTTCAAAGGTGTGACGGACAATATTGAAAAAAGGAAGTGCATCGCATGTTTCATTGTATTGGGTGTGTGTCGCGTAGCTTCATTTAACAACGAAAAATTAAGTATGTTTGTTTTGTTATAAAATTAAGAAAATAGCTGCATTTATTATCGACATTTCTATTTTGCACTTAAATGCTTTGTTTGATTTCAGATGTGCAAAACAAGACAGTGTGTGTCGTCGTTCATTGCGTAATTTTTCAATTTTTGATTGCTAAATGTAAGTTCCTTTAATATAGCCGGTGCAACTGTACAATTTATTCTCCAGAAAATCTTGCTTTGTTGTAGATAAGAAATAGCATAATAGTTAAACTGTTAGCTTTCAGTGTTTGATTGCTAATAAGTATGAGTATATAAATAGTTAAAGGGCCCGGGACTCCATTGCGGTTGTTGCAGCTGTTGGGTTTTGTTGTTTGTTATATTTACATAACGAGACTAATGTCAATAGGTCTACACCAATATTTGTGTGCAAAATATCAAATTATACGCTAACGTTGTGTTTCCAGAATATTTTTTACTTGTGAAAAATAAACAAAACTTGAAGAGCCTTGTAACGCTTTTCTTTCAAATTGAAAAATACCAGTACGACTTTAATGAATTTCGGAGTATATTTTTTTCTTTATTTTTTAAATATACTTTCGCATATCTTTCTATTTTAATTTTCCCAGGTGATCCATGTAAGAAATTAAAATTCATGCTTTTATATGTTATGTTCCTGTAAAATAAAGACATTTTCTTTATTACACTGAATTCATTGATTTTACCATTGAAATAGGAATTGATTCTTTTAGTCAGATATTACACTCTTGTTACGTTTTTTCTTCGTTCTCTGGGATAATTAATTCACCCGCGGTGATAAATTCCAATACTATTTAGTGTTGAATCTAGTCTGGATTACCTGCCCTTTTCTCTCCGTTCAATAGTACTAAATTTATAGTACGACCGGAACCACACTATGTTGAATCTTGTATGCACGTGAACGTAATCAACACAAATATTTCTGCAATGTTTATATTTGTTGTTGTCCTTGATTTTATGCCAATACTCTTTTTAATGTAGTTGTAATTTTTGTAATGTTAAATATTTAACTTTTATTATATATATACACACATTTATAGTATCAGTTTTGTAATGTATAACCGTTTGTAAGAAGCATAAATGTATATATTTATGACGAATGATCTTGTTATTAAAAACATACAGACTGACTGGTTAAATTGATTCGCATACTGCGCATGCTCGACAGAGATTTAAACTTTTTCCATAAGAAACGGAAAATAAGCGGCATAATAAAAGAATGAATAAAGCAGCAAGACTTTTAGTATAAAATAAGTATGAGTTTTCCAAATTTTAGGTACGATTACCTTGATTATCTTTTAAACATCTTTGCAACGTTTTACGTCCCTCACAGCAACATATATAATCATTTTTAAGTTGTGTGCAAGTGTTCAAAGTTTGTTGGTTTTTGTTGTTGTTGTTGTTGTTTGTTTGTTCCATCGATCACTCCATACTTTTGTATTAAGTTCAAATGCTACCATGCTCTCCTTCAGATCAGGATCTTTCAATTATCTAAGAATAAATATATTCTGACCTGACCAGATGTTGATATGTTATGGGGATTTAGTACCAAACAATGATAAAATTAGACTACCATCAGATGGTAAAACGAATAAATTATTTTCATACTTTAGTTAATGAAACCGTGTCTGGGGTTTTCACATTTTGCAAGCTATGTCCATTACTTTCGAGGTATATTCCATTGTCCAGATATTGTAAATGTTTGTTGATATAATATACTTGGTTCAAACATATTTATTTAACCTCAGTTTAGCGAAACAAGTTCTTGTAAGTTATATTAATCACTTTCGAGTCCGCTTCCTGGAATGAAACAGTACTGGTGTCATATAAAGAAACATGGTCTTGACCCGATTACGACTCGAAGCCATGATCCCTGGGTTGAGAGGCAGATACCTTGACAACTAGGCCCCTTCATATATACTTAAATTATGTTTCATAAGGATTTTACCGAAGCTCATTCGTGTAAGTGTGTTAATAACTTTTGTCAATTAATTATATATGTGACTATATGTGAATATGTTTGTAAGAGCATTTATTCCAACACAAAACCAAGGAGACAAAATTAGTTTCCATGATTTATTTAAAGGTTGATGGAATTTTGTCAATAGCTGGTGAAAAAAATATCGATACGAATTTTAGTATAATTTATGTTTCATGTATATCCCCACATCTGACATAATTGTATTAAACTTATCATAGAATATGCCTTACGCAAGTCAAATAATCTTATATAAGTGTTAAATTAAAGAAAACGTAAATCACTATTGCTTCAAAACAGATAAAGTTTAAAATTAATGTTCAACACCAATGCAGATAAAGTCACTACATGTCATTTTAACGTAAGCATTGTTGACGGAATGTTGATAGTCAACAAAGTAATTGTCTTTAGCTTGCTTACGAAGCGAATGATAAAGTTTTAACTTTTTTCATTGATTATAACCTACAGTCAAATTTTCTGTTTCCAGCCATGACGAAAAGCTCCTGAAAAGTACGATTAACTTTCAGAAGCAAATGACATCAATATGTATTAGCAGGGAGGGTGTGGGTATTACTGACTAAAGCTAGATCAGCTTAGAATTCAAAAAATTAAAAATGAACACGACGTTTTTACCTCCATGCAATTTCCAGGGAATATTAGCCAAAGATAAAATTAATTGTCGAGCCAAAAGTATGTGACTCACTGTACGGTGGCCAATGAGAACCAATGAGAACCAAAACGTGCTGTAACCTGGGACAATATAAAAAGAATGAGGTATCCCGGAAAAGGGCTCTTATGCCAGGTAAGGGTCTGCCTTTCAAACCGACTTTCCTCGCCGTCCCTGCCTACTTTGGCGGACCATTTCTCTTTAGTTAGGACATCGGCAGCAGAGTCGTTTGTATCGAAGCAGGGTAGATTGGTCTCCAGGACCTACCCTATATGTAACACAACAGAGATCCGGATCTTAACCAGGCCAAGCTCCAAATTTTCTGCCGATGCCTTGCGCCTTCTGTACGACGTGCACGCACCGCTATGCCTTCTCTATGACATGCACGCACCGCTGTGCCTTCTCGACGACGTACACGCACCGCTATGCCTTCTCTACGACATGCACGCACCGCTGTGCCTTCTCTACGACATGCATGCACCGCTGTGCCTTTTCTAAGACGTGCATATGCACCGCTGTGCCTTCTCTACGACGTGCATACACCGCTGTGCCTTATCTACGACGTGCACGCACCGCTTTGCCTTCTTTACGACGTACACGCACCGCTGTGCCTTCTCTACAACGTGCATGCACTGCTATGCCTTCTCAACGACGAACATGCACCACTATGCCTTCTCTACGACATGCATGCACCGCAGTGCCTTCTCTATGACGTGCACGCACCGCTGTGCCTTATCTACAAAGTGCATTCACCGCTTTGCCTTCCCTTCGACGTGCATGCACCGCTGTGCCTTCTCTACGACGTGTATGCACCGCTGTGCTTTCTCTAGGACGTGCATGCACCGCTGTGCCTTCTCTACGACGTGCATGCACCGCTTTGCATTCTCTACGACGTGCATGCACCGCTTTGCCTTCTCTACGGCGTGCATGCACCGCTGTGCCTTCTCTACGACGTGCATGCACCGCTTTGCCTTCTCTACGACGTGCATGCACCGCTGTGCCTTCTCTTCGACGTGCATGCACCGCTGTGCCTTCGTTCTCTACGACGTGCATGTACCACTGTGCCTTCTCTACGACGTGCATGCACCGCTGTGCTTTCTCGACGACGTGCATGCATCGCTGTGCCCCTCTACGACGTACACGTACCGCTATGCCTTCTCTACGACGTGCATGCACCAAGGGGAAGAGATCAGAAAGACCATACCGAGTTGCACAGCTTTTTTTATTATATATTGATAACTTTTTCAACCAACCATTGGCACGTTATAAAAGTCTGTCTTTATAGATGAAATAGCTATTTGATTGAATGATTAAACTGTATATAGTTGCCATTCGGTGAACTTACCTGTTACATTTAAATATTCCTTGTAAAATACTTTATAATCATGGTAAAATCAAAAACGAATTCAATAATGTCAGTTATATAACAGTCCCGAATCTTTTCCGTAAAGGGATGCACGTGTCGTAACTTCTAGCATTAATGAGTACTTAGCTTGCTCAACTGATCATCTATAAAATAAACTTAAAGGGACTCCACAGAGGTTTTTTGACATGATGGGTCTGAAAATATTTTTTTCCAGATAAATGTACCATTTGATGTAGGTTTAGACCACTAATCTTTGTGCAAAATTTCAGATCATTTGCGCACTTTATTTTTTCAGAATAATTGTTCAAATTGTAAAACAATAACCCCAAATGAAAAGCGTTTAAACGCTTTGCACTAAAACGGGCTAAGAAAAGCATACAAACACGATTTTCAATTTATTTCAAAGTATATTTATTAACTATCTTTGCATATATTTCTGTTTAAAAAGTTTAAAGTGCCCCAGCTCATTTATGTAAGAAATTTAAATGTTATGTTTTTAGGCTTTTAAACCTCAGTGGAGTCCCTTTAATCGTATCTGTGTTAAATAGGATAACATCCTACTGTATTAATCAAATGATTACAAATGACCACTAAACCAACCTTAAAATTGAGTGTCATGCTCAAGATGCGATTTTTGTATTTAGCGGCTAGCTAGCTCTAAACAAATGCTTCTGCACAAAAGATATTTACCTGTAAAATAAACACTCAGTATTCTACGCCTCTACCTATCAAATAAACTTACATTTTCATCGCAAAAAAATATAAATGTCAACCGTGTGCAAAAACAATGCTTATAAAGCATGTCATTAGTTTACATGTATTAATTTAATGTGTCAAGGTAATTCTTCACTTCAATACCTGTACAGTTATAATTTGAATACCTGCGATTTTTGTTGGATGGACTCATGAATACAGTTTTTACGATAAATTTAAACATATATGTTGATGATGTGATTATTCTTTTGTGATACAACACACCATTAACGGGATAATTACCGTATCAAGGTGTTGACGAAAAAAAGTTAAAAGGTAAGAGTTATAGTAATTATTATGCGCTGCGTATGTACGTATACTGTATGGAATATGCGCTGCGTATTTTGCTTTTTCAACGGAACCTGAAGTACTGTTGTTTTATACGGGTTATTGGTATGTACTGTACCTAAATTAATGTACATGAAGATACTCCATTGTTTTGTTTTAATTTCAGATGTACAACACAAGAGTCTGTTTGTCCTTAATTGGGTTACTGATTCAGTTTTTGATCGTGAATGGTAAGTCCAAAATCTAGTACATTATTTCATGGAGCTTAATATAGATATGTGTATCTGTGATTATTTTTCCAAAAAGTTAAGCTTAAAGTATTCTTATATTTTCAGTCTTAAAACAGTATAGTAAATAATATTGTATTATACAAAAAAATATATTGTAAAATATAAATTAAAAACTGCTCAAATATTATTAAATGGACTGATTTTATCAATGCTAATTGAAATTTATTTTGAACAATATAGAGCATCCTTATTAATTTTTTTACACTGATAAAGCATGATCGGTTTTATTATAAATTTGTTATCATTAAGTGTTTTTTGTTTTTTTTGTTGTTTTTTTGCCTGTTGATCATTTATCATAGTTAAGCGAGTTCTCTGAAATTGGAAAACCAAGCTCTGACAAAAAATATGATATAAATAAGATTTTGGTAAAACAAGAAGTTTTAGGTTTCATCAGGTAATTGTTAATCAATTCATTAATCATTTAAATAAATTGCTCACTGGAAATTTACATATTTCTTGTAACTGCATGAAGGATTGATAAATATTCAATTCCACATATATTTCTTTTAAAGAAAAGATGCCTGATTAAAGGCCAATATAGCATCAGATATGCTATCCTATTTTTTTAATTGGTTTAAATTTAGTGAATTAGTATTTTGCATTGAAGTCAAAATACTACTTGTTTACATTTTGCTTCCTTTATGACACATTGTTGCACGTTCACCGCTACTTTCTCCAGTAATGTTGTTTAACACGTAGCATATTCTAAATTCATTATTTAAACATTATTTAACACTTGTTTGACATTTCTTAAGATTCAAATATGAGTAAAAATATGAATTTCTGAGGCATAATGTGCTTTTAATAAAAAATAAAGAACTGTAGAATAATTAAAAAATCTCTGTTAGATCTACATTTCATAAATATGTATTATGTTGTTTACAGAATTTTAGTTTATACAATCAGGGAATATTTTAGATGCTCTTATTTACTCGGTCATTTGTAGTTAAACTAATTTGAAAATTTCTTTTCATTTATTGAATCATAATATCTGACAAGTATATGTCGTTCTTTAACAAACTATAGTTTTGCTATTTGTAGAATTAACGTGTATGATAAACAAAGTTTAAATAGTGTCAAAATATCGTTCAGAATACACTAAACCTTTAACCATTTCTAAATTTAGTTGGAAGTTTGTCATGGCCGGATTTCGAGAGCGGATGGTTACCAATTAAAAACGGACTTGAACATGTTGCCCGACTCAATATTGACCATGGTCTCGGCGAAATACCAGTTCTTGTAGACGTCTCTGTGAAAATAAAAGAACGTATATTCCCAGCGTCAGGTAAAATATATTGTTTTTTATCTAATTTATTTTTTGTTGTTGTTTTTTTTTAGTTGTCGAAGTTCTGTGAATTTATTAAATTTTTATTTCACACCAGTCCTGTGTTTTCAGCGTTTATACCAAATGAGGTCCCATGGGATCCTTATTTAATCCAATCTTATAAATTTTGCTTCGTTTCCAACAAATCCGTCCTAAATGCGTATCGTAAACCATATAGCCTCGTTTTCATTTTAAGAGTCCAAAAATTATGTATCAAATGCATAAAAAATATCAAAATGTCAAAAGATTGCGGTTTGTAGTAAGAGCCCATTATACGTTGTTGAGGACAAAACTGATTTTATTGGGCTCGTACACAGCGCAAAATCTCGGCTAGTGTCCCGTCCAATATAAATGTGATAGCTGTGTACCCGTCCAGTTATTCAATATTGTACTCAGCAATGTATTACATCTCACATTGTTAGGTATACACAGTTGTTTTTTAAACGCCAGGTCCACGCAGTATCGAATATTTCCATTGATCATTGATGAGATAAACGCAACAGATAATTGTTCAAGGTCACATAACGAGAATAAAAGCATTGGAAAAATCTCAATTTTGTAACTTTACTTTTAATCTTTCCGCTATTTACACGTGACAGAACTTCTGATAATTATCAAAATTAATTTCAATACAATTCTGCAAATAATAGTACCAAATTTTCTTATATTTTTCTCATGTAAGCGATTTTATTTTTTTATTTTTTGAGGGGGGTTGTTTTAGAAGTGTTAGATTGAATTAAGTAGGAAAGGGGTTCAAGTTTGGATTTACAAAGAATAAGATATGTCATCTTGTAAATAAACGGAACTTATTGTACTAGAAATAATAGTTTTCCCCTTCTCTATGTGATTAAAAAAGTCGTGATGAAATAAGTTATTGGAACCTGTATTATATTTTATATATCTAGGTTTCCGGCCTGACCACCCAAAGGAGCGTTCCGGACCAGTGGTATATATTTATGATGGCATGTATGTAAATGTGTCGACAACTCCAGTTGAAGATCCACTATATAGACTTATTCCGAGAAGTAAGTGATATATATCATATTCTATCATATACATCGTGTTTCATGATAAAATATGTGTTTAAAATAGATGTACTTAAATGAGTATTAAGTTTGTAAACAGACGATTGCCATTATAAAAAATAGAGATAATTTATTACTGCCGTCTATTTGGCATTTGTAGCCAAGCTTGCATCAGTTACAATAAAATTGGCCTTCAATTGATAGTATTCAGTAAGTTTCAAGGGGAACAGCGAAATGATGTATCCACTGCCAAAAAATTACCTATCTACTTGATGTGCAAAGTGTGAATTTTTTTTAACTATTTGTTTTTAAACTGTAAGGAGTTAGATCTACTATTTTATGTATGTGATAAATAGAATATTATATTTGTGTAGCTTCATTACAATATTTATCGGATAAAAAATATTAAACTCGCTAATATGATTGTGTTTATTTAACTCGATCAAAAGATTCAAATTGACTGATTATTGAACCTACGTTCATTTTTTCCAGTTAACATTCGATATATGGGTTATGAATTACTTCTATATGGAGATGCGCAAGTGCGCGTGCGAGCTTGGAAACAGTCGTCACTTCCGGTGGTAGACTTTCACCAATCAGGGATAAAAATGAAAGCGAACACTTCAAAAGGTAAAGCAGTAAGTCGCCGATGACACAACAAATAAAACACAAGTTTACAAAGTCATGTCTAACAATTCATGGGCGGTTCTGAAGCAACTCCAAAATACTTAAAACTGCTCAATAACGGAACAAGGAAGTGGAAAGATTCTGGATGATTTTAAGGAGCTCCTCTGACTAAAAAATGTCTGAATAGATAAAATTGGAAATTCTTGATTGGTCAAGTGATGTACTTAAAACTGAAAACTCTGCTAAAACAGTAAACAAATATACTGAGAATAACTTGAAAATCAATTTATTTTGCACGATTTGAAGCCCGGTTTAAGTAAGAGGATATACAACGCTTTAAAAAAGGGACATTTGTGGGCTTATTGTTCTAAGAAACGCAGTTAGGAAATTATTTGGTATGATAAGCCCAGACATACATACATAATAAAATAGTACACAATTGTCGATAAAATATTTCCTGTTTCTTCATGTAAAAAACAAACAAACATTGTGGAGTCCCTTTAAGATTTAAGATACTGATTTGACTGTAATTGTCCTTTTATTGTCACAAAGTTTCTCCTGCCCGCGATTAATACAATCAGCATTTGTATAAAATCTGCATTATCATTTATATTACAAAACATGTTTTATTATTATTACAATCCGGACGTGATTGAAATAAGTTACAGAAATTTTCATTATGATCAAAGTTCGATGAATGTTTCTTTAACTTAAAGCAGGATGCCTCCAGATGAGCGAAAATATTTGAATACATCAAACTTGTGAAAAATTTACTAAGATTTTAAGAAAAGTAGAAAGATTCAATATTTAAGTTATAATTTACATGTAATGGGCAATTAGTGGTGATTTCTTTTTCATTATGAGTAACTATATTTCTACTGTGTTACTAACGCAGTAAGGGCATTTTTGCATGTTTTGACCTCTTTTTGTAATTAACATGGGTTGTAAGTGCCACTGATAATGTGTAAGTTGCTTCCTTTTGGTTACTATACAGTAGTATAAATTTAATTTAATTTTCAAAATTTTCATGAAAAATAAGCATTAATCTGTAGGCGTGCTGCTTTAAGTTAGTGCATATTTTAAATAAAAGCCTAAGACATTTTCCGACCCTCTTGTCTATTTATAGTTTCAGATTCTTACGCCGAAGTGAGTCATAATCTTGGTGAAATGCCATGTCTTGTTATAGTTCGTATCAAAATGCATCATGGGAACAACTTGATTATGGCTGATGGCGTTGGTAAGTCACTTATATATTTTTAAATGTAAAGATGAGTGTATATTATTAGGTATAAAGATTGTTGACAGGTTATATGGCCCTATATAAACGGCTGTTTGTAAACAAACACATACACATAACCCGAGACACAAGGCATATATACGGCCATATAACCTATCAACAATCTTTATAACGAATTTATGATACAGCAAACATCATTTTTTAGAGAAAAAAGTAAGATTTCTTCATGAATCGACAACAGCCGTGTATATAAAACTATATAAACGTCACGATTATTCAATGAAAAGCGACGTTACAAACGTGCAGTATTATAAATGAAAAGCGACGTTACAAACGTGCAGTATTATAAAAAAAAACTTTATAATACTGCACGTTTGTAACGTCACATTTCATTGGAAAACCATGACGTTTGTATAGCTCTTACAATACTGCACGTTTGTATCGTCGCTTTTTACTGGATAATCGTGATGTTTATATAGTTTATTATACGCGTCTGCTGTCAGTTCATGAAGAAATCACATTTTTCCCCTTAAAAGAAGTGTGTTGTATTATAAATTCGCCATAAAGATTTCTGCCAGGTAGTATGGCCGTATATAAACAGTTGTTTGCAATGTATCCCTCGCCTTGTGTCTCGGGTTATGTGTATGTGTTTGTTTACCCTCGCCAACGGAAAGAAACCATATGGGCGAGCAATACAAACAACTGTTTATAAAATATAGGGCCTGTCAAGAGTCTTAATAACTAATTATACAAACGTCACAAATATCCAATGAAAAGCGACGTTACAAACGTGCAGTATGCTGAATGCCCAGGTACATGCTATTACACAAAAACGGAAGGGAAAAAAGACAAACGATCCGGATTAAAAATGAGATATTTTTTCTTTGATGTGTATTTACGTGACCGATAGTACTAATTCGACAATGATCCAGTTCTTTAACGCAAATTATAAATACTTATAAGTGTAATAAGCATCATAAAAGAAATATTTGCCAATTTTGAAATTTCATGTTCAAAAAATTATTTCATATTGCTTTTATTAATGTTTAAGAAAATGTAGTAATTAATCATTTTCAGGATCCAGCATGCAGGTATACGCGGATGTATCTGACAGAACAAACGCCTACCTTGTATATGGTTATAGTAACAACACGGCGAGAATGTGGGTAGACTCGTCAAACCTTGGTGGTATGTGAAATTAAAATTAAAAAAAGTCCGACATTTTGAGATAATTTTCCATTATAAATGCTCAGTTAGTTATTTAGAAAGCGTGTTTGGTAATTTAAGAACTTTATTAACTTTACAGTAATATATGATGTTCATTTACGAAAAAACATCCATAGGTGTGAGTTTTCACATATTGATATAATTCTGATAAAATAGTTCAAGCAATAATGCCATTGATCTTACTTAAGGAGTTGTCTTAATACAATCTTTAAACCAAGATTTTTCTATGATTCTTCTTTTATCTTTTTATATCACTATATTCTTTGATATGTTTCATGATAAAGGTGTCTTCTAAGTATATATGGTCACATGATTAATTTTAAAGGCACCAAGTCCATATTTGAAGTTTTATGTGCAATTTAAAGCTCATAGTAATTTTAGTACTCAGTGAACTTAAAATGTTTTAATTTGATTATATCCATTTTTAAGGGGATTTGGGTGGGGGTTCGTTACAGTTTTAGTACTTAAATTGTTATTTATAGAATACGATTCGTTATTATCACTGAATTGAAGGATAAAAAAGAAATATGCAACCAAAAATACGTTGCATCAAGATAACATTTCATTTATGTTGTTTTAGATCCACAAGCTTTTAGCACGATATTTTGCTATATATATGTGGTTATTTGAAATGATATGACATTATCAGAAAATGCGACATAACTGACTGTGGATTTAAATTAAATTAAATCGTTCGAGGGATGACTTATAGAAACAGATGTATCTAATAAAAACTTCCATTTCAATTAAAACACAGACATAATGGTTTTTTTTAAAGAATAATTATTAGTTTGGACGATATGTTGAATATATATGTTTCTAATTTTCTAACCTTATCACTCATTCACTCTTAAGTACGACATTCCATGTCTTCAGTGTTCTGTGAAAATTTGTGGATATATATAAGCCCGAACATCCTTGTAAAATGTTTTAACAATTGGTACTGCATCAAAGATTTAATTTGAGTGCAAGTTTACTAAAGTAGCTTTTGGTTTGATTTTTCTAGTGACAATTACTTTTGCAAGAAAGGGGTACGAAAAACAGCATGTCGAAATATTGGCCATTGCACGTATCTTCGTACAAAAAGTCGTGGTTAACAGTAAACACAGCTTATTTTCGTTATTCTATTGCAGATTTTGACATATAAAACTGTTTTTGATATTACGAAAATTAATTTTCTCAAAATCGAATTTGAATTGTTTGTCTTCAAAGTCGAAATCATTTACGAGTCTTAATTGCAAAACAATGTTAATCATACATGGTAACATATAAGTGGTTATTTCAATAGCAATATTAAGTCTACAGTAATATAGTTAACATAAAATATGAAGATTAAGAGTATCTGTACAACCATTTTGTTTAGGATTCACGTTAATTTTGATTTTACAACCGTAATTTTTACAAAATCATTTACGAGGCTCATCAATACCATGCGTTTGCAATATATTTTCAATTATTTCAATGTTATAATACTTCAGATATTTAGAGCGGATATTTATCTTGCTTATATTCTGTCATTCATATAAACCATTCCACAATTTCTCATAAAATTCCTTTGTAAAACAGAAATTTTCAACATTTACGAGCACTCACCCTCTTTCACATTCTTTTGTGATTTATTCTGCTAGATTTGTTGAATCATTTCAACTTGTTATTGGACATTGGTATTGTTAGGATAGTACTCTTTCACGAAAACAAAGAAGTATACATGTTTTTTTAAACATGCGCATCTGAAATGTGTTTTTTTCACTTGCAGATAGAATCTAAAAATCATAATTTTGATACTGTTATTGGTATTCAGACGTTTTGACTATTATAGAGTTCAATGGATACTTACTTTTATATACACATACCTTTAAACTGATACTTCAAGTAAACATGAAAATAGGCGTGTCCCGTATCTGGCTGAGCTGTCCCGCAAATGGTAAAATTAATTTTGGAATATTCATTCGAGTAATGGGAAATTTTGAGTCCACGCGCAATAATATTGGAGTATCTTGTATTAATTGTAATATAGAAGGTTCTTTGGAGCAGATATGGTGAGAACTATCTAGTTTTTGTCCTTAAATAAATACATTCTGAAAACTTTATAACATTTTTAGAGATGTTTCAGTTAAATGGAATATGACTTTTCATGCATCTTGATATAAAATATTTTAGTTTATCTAGATACTTAATATCTGTTTAAACAAACATACTGCACATTGTTTTGCAGTTGAATTATAAGATAAAAGTAATAAGATTTACTTGTCCCGTAAATGACCAGAGCGAAAGAAAATTATTGTCAGAATAATCATGAAGTTTATTTTTTATGTAGATATGTATCTTACAACGAGACTCAGTGATATATTGTTGTAGATGAAACAACGAGTTAATATTTCTTTAAAGTGATACATTGTTTTGAATAGAGTGTAAATATCATGTTTAAACCAGTCGCTGTATGTATACATGTTTAAAGGTCAGATCGTTTAAGCTAGCAAATATGCGCGTTTTGAGAGAGATTTTACATCAGTTAAGGAGAGACACGCTGATAGTGTGAGGCGGTTATTTTTTTGTTGAGAAGAGAATGTTTGTTGAAGTTGGTTGAATATAATTGTGGTGATATTAATTGATCAGGGTTTATTGGTTGTAATAGGAGAGATTTACCACCACGTCACTGATAACTGCTGTGTGGACTACGTATACACACAATCTTAGAAGGTCGTACATTCACTTGTAAACAATTGAAGCATTTTCTGTAAAGTTAACGGAAAATGATGTTCCTGTGGCAAAGTTTTAAAGATCAGAATTATCTGAACATATATTTTTTGCTAATATTCAAAATGAAAAATAAAACAAAAAACTATTATCTAAATTGTATTGACATATATATAAGATACATGTATTGTGATGTTATAAAGGGTTAAATTTTGCTAAACATCTACATGTACTTTAATTTTTATGTCTATATCAATCTTGTAGCAACTCACTGTGTTCTATGAATTATCATTTTTTTGTGAAATATGCCAGCTAATTGGTCAGTTTTGTTTCATTTTCCCTTTTTTCACCCTGTCAATGTAAATATGTTTTGTGATTCAAGGGTGTTATCATATATATTAGTCATTGTTAAATGTATGCTTAAGTCCAAAAACTGAGTGTTGTTAATAAATATAATTTAAAACTTTATGCTAAGTTCATGTTCAGTTTTAAGTCTTAAACAAGTTAAGCCATACGCCTACAGATGGTAAAATGTAAAAAAATAATGAAATTTTAGGTGAATGGTAATACAGTACTTGTTAGGTTTTATGTGTTGTTCTACCATTACTGAGTTCTTAATTTATCTAAAAAGTTGACAAAATCCCCAGTTAAACATGTTTACAGCAGCCAATATAAAAAAGAAAAGGCAACGTAATTACTCAAAATAGTCATGTGTCACATCTGTGGCTGGAAGAAAATCCGGGATCAGGTAGATATTCTAATGACCACCGTGAATTTATTTCAGAATACTAGTGCATCTCTAAAACTATATCATACTTATAAGCTAGGCATTATTATATTTGATGTAGTTAACTAATTATAACCTTTTAAGGACACATAATAAAAATATCTAAACAATGTCTTTATAATTGTTCAAATATTTCTTTTGCCTACAGTTTTTATAATTGTTTGAAGATTTCTTTTCCCTACAGTTTTATTTATTTTCAATGAAAAAATAAATTATCAGAAAATATGAGAAAAGAAAGATTGTTTTGTTTCTATAATTTTGTAGTTAGTACCTTTAAAAATTACAATAGATTTGCATCGTTTCATACAATAATTAAACATAATAGTCTATATTTTGCCAGTCACTTTGCAAGCTTGATGTTAATGCTTTTCTTTATTTTTTTAATCACCTGTTTTATTCGCGATGCATTAAGTTTACGATGAATTAAGTGTATGTTATTTTTTGCTATTAGTTGTTTTGGTTGTTGAGTTATATCTGTTTGTGAAGATATAATTGGTTGATATTGGTTGTCTGGTCAAGATTATATTAGTTGATGCTTTGTTTTGAAGATATATTTAAGAAATAACATCGTCCTGAGAGGTGTATATCGGCTATTTAACACCGGTTTGGAGTTTTGATGCGTAGGAATTGACCACGAAGGCCGTAGGCCTGAATGGTTAATTTAGTCGCATCAAAACGACAAAACCGGTGTTAAATAGCCGATATACACCTCTCAGGACGATGTTATTTCGATTCTTACACGATAAAATAAGGAAAATCACTAATGTTATTTTTCAAGCGGAAATAACTTCCGATGCCGATTTTCGTATAACGCTGTTCGATTTTCGCACCCTTCTGTTGTGAAGATATAGAAATTATTAAACAAAAGAAATAATAAGAAAAAAACGTTATTTTATCAAGTTTTAAATATTTAAAAACTTACGTCGTATTGTTTTTACATCAGCGCCCCATTTATTATTCTTGCATGTATGAAATAACGTAAGCTTGTTTATGAATGAGTTGTTTACTTAGGATGACGTCATTACGCTGCTTACGGATTGGCGCCGTTTTGTCAAAATATTTATTAACTGATATGTAGCTAATATATGGCGTTAGTGTATGTGAGATATTATTTCGGTATTGTATCGGAAGAAAACATTATACGAACTGAAAATATAAATAAAAATGCTTTTTATTGTTGCTTTAAAATGCTTTATAAACTATACACTCGAGGGTGAAAACATAATCGCGCATATACAAGTAGTCCCTTACCGGTGTTTATTGACAGTTTAACACCAGTTTTTTTCCTTCTTTGTCTAAAGTGACAAAATCACGTGAGTGTTAGAATTAAATATTGGGTGCTTTAGTTTAAATTGTTTTCTGATGCTGATTAGATTGTGCGAAGTTAATATTGTTGGATGAATGTTTGTGGTTTATACTGTATCTTAGAGTTGTAAAATATTCATTTTTTGTGTTCTTCATTTTGTGGTGATTTTAT